CACCATACGCGCGCGCGCGCAAAGCTAAGGAAGAAAAAGTATATTACGTATGTTATGTGTACAGAAGACATTATTAATGTTTTTTTACTCAAAGTTTCTCAATTTATAAAAGCGATATATAAAAATAGTCGTCATAAAAGAATCATATTCACAAAATAAGATGATTTTAAGATCCTCTTATGAATAACAATTATTTTTATACATATTACATTTTTCGTCATGATGGTAATATTAAAATATGAGCATATTAAAATATGTGTTATATAAGTTACATTCGCTTTTGTAAAAACAAAAAAGTTAATGTTTCTTTAACATATTATAATAAAGAGAACATTTAATTATCCCACGAAACTTCATAAATTATATTAATAATAAATACAAATTACTTCAATAGCTCATATATTTATATTGTAACCACAAATAATCTAAAACAATTACATGTGTGTGGATGCAAATTCGGTAACATACTTGTTTTTGTCAAAATAAATAATTTCAAATTCTCTCATATACAAATAGATAATCTTGTTTTGCATAACCTTGTTTTTAAAATCAAATTATGCTACTATATTTTTTTTTCGCAATATTTCTTTTAGTCTTATTTAAGCTCTAGATTCGTTAAATATTTAAATATTTAGATTTTTAACTTTATATGTACAATTAAAGAATATACATTTTCGACGGTTTAAAACATTTTATAATTTTAAATATATTTTATATTTATTTTAATAAAATAAATTGCTTTTATTGTTGTTTTCTTGTTTGAATTTTGATCATCTAATTTGTAAACGGTGTCCTATCATTAAGATGCGAGCCTATTATGGCCAATAGCGAGCAAACCGGACACAATTACAGAGTCTCGTAAAGCTTCGCTGAACACTGCGAGGCCTCCGACACGCATCGAGACCTCGTCCGCATCGTTTCTTTCGTCCGTTCTCGCTCTATCGTTATTATTTCAAAGCTTATTTCAAATTTATAAACATATAATTTAAGTTATATAATTCTGAAGTTAATAAGAAACAAAAAAAAATGCAAAAAATTATGAAATTATGAAAAATGAAAATGTACATACATGTTTTAGATATGTATGAGTCTAACGCTATAGTTAAAATTGTGAGATGTAAATAATTTTGATATCATATACACGTATATATATACATGTATGCGCGCGCGCGCGCGCGCGTGTGTGTGTGTGTGTGTGTGTGTGTGTGTATGGGGGGGGGGTTGTGTGTGATATTCATAATATGATTTATATTAAAATTACGTTGTTTCCATTAATGTTCTTTAATCCTCAATATACTGTAGCCTTCTAAAAATAATTTTTACAACGTGTTGTAACGTACAACGTTTTTTTAAAACAATGCTTACTTACCTATTTTACCGTTAGGACTGTAAGGATCATAACTTCCAGTACTCATAGGACTCGCATATCCATTATTGCTAACTTGTTGATGCGCAACTGGACTGGAATGAGCCATAGGTTGTTGCTGTTCTGACAATTGTTGCGAAGTGGTATAGACCACATTCTGACTCTGTAAAGAGTTTTGTGGTGATTCTGGACTATTCGTCGCTAGCCAATCGTCTGATCTAGTTGTCTTATTATTGTTAGCGATACTAGAGAAGAGGTTACTTCCGGTGCCGATCGATCCAGTGGCTACAGGAGTTACCGTCGCAGACGACGTCGATGTCCCCGCCAAATGATCCGGCCTCTCGGCCTTAACCAATGTTAAAGATGCAGTGTTGGCGACAACGGAAGAGATAGCGCCAACAGTTGTAGCGGTAGAACTGGCGTTAGCAGTGTCCATATTAGAATCAGCACTGGTATCCATGTTGAAAGTTGTCACTATTTTTGTAGGCGTCGTCGTCATTAATGGATTAACCCCTTCTTTTAACCTGGATGGGGCTGCCAAAACGACATCCCCCGTAACAATAACTTCAGACTCTTCATCGTATCGTACCTCTACATTGTCACTTATTAAACTGGCAACTGTGACAGATCTCTCTTTCGATTCCGAAATATTAAATATCTTCTTGTTGTCTTTGCTTCTAACCAATGCTTTTGGTTGAATTTGCTTCTGGCTATTAAAGCTTATAGCTTATATATATATATATATATATATATGTATAAATATATATATATATATATATGTGTGTGTGTGCGTACGTATATATATCCATATATGGAAATATATATGCGTAAAGATATAGAGTTCCGAAACTTCTAAATTATTTTATCTTTTCAGTTACTTCTTAATAACAACAAAATACTTTCAACTATATTGCAAACATTCGATTCTTAATTTTTCCAATTACATATCAATAAAAATTTATACTGATATATTCATCATTAGAATATCTTCAAACAAAAGAATTAACAGTTTCAAATTATTCAATATTAGATTATTTTAATAACTTAAGATTGAAATGAAATAATCACAGCCTCTACCGCATTTTGACATGCGCGCAAGTTTGTTATAGCTTCATGTTTAAGTTGCCGTCTACTGTCTCGATACCTGCAACACGAAAGAAATTGACTTCTTAATCGATATTATTATTATTATGTACGTGACGTAAAGTTTAGTACTTTTTTTTTTTTATTTACGATATTACATTTATTTACGCACGGAAAGAAAAAAATATGATTCGCACAATCAGAAATATTTAGTTGTAAGCAAATAGTCGCATCACTTTAATTAATTTTTGATAGATGTGTATGGTTGATATGACTTAATGATGTGATGTGATGTGTCAATTACGTCAATATAATTGCACGTGATATGATTGTGACAACCAGAACTCAGTTAGGGGATCATTTATTATGGATGGGTTATCCATAAACTCGTAAAAGTGAGTCATGTTTTGTTTTCTAACATCATTGCTTTACAGCGCAAAAGCGGTTTATATGCAACTACAAACATTAGTAGAAGTGAAGAGTTCTGAAACTTGTTGACAACATTATTGTTTTTCATTTTATCATTTCATGGATGAGCGTTACAAAAGTGCACCAGAACACATGAAACTCTCACACCTTATTTGAAGATACGATCGAGAGATAATATCTAAAGATACGAGGAAGGAAGGAAGTGATAACATATACTATCTTTTTTTTTTGGGTCTCTTTAGAACAAATAACTCCATTGTGTAATCTAAATAGGTATTGTCTTGCATAGGTATTGTCTTGCGAGTTTAATTTGACGTGACAAATTCTTTGTTTGAAATCAAAAGAGAGTAGGGAGAAAGTATCTTACTACTGAAATATTTGAAGGCTATAGAAATCACATTTCACCTTAACAAATTGGAGGTATTTATACTAAACTCAAAATTCGCTTGAAGTAAACAATTCCTCACGCGCCTATCAACAATGATCGCCGGGCGGGAGTATCTTGTCGCGCGCTTGCATTTGCCGGTGGGCTGGGTTAATATAGTGACTTTTAATAATTAATATCTCGATTATTATTGCGAATATCACAAAATAGTATGGGACTTTTATGTTCATCTCGGTCCCATCTATTTTTTTACGAGCGGTGGCAGAAGTCTCGCGGAACACTCTGTATATCTATCTCCTATGCATTATACTAAAAAATTTTGTATAGAAATTCTTTGTTAGTTGAATTATACCCTTACATACGAATAAACATATAGTAAATATATGTATAGATACACCTATCAGACTTGTCAAGACTATGCCTATGAGTGCAAATTGTAATAGTGACCACAAAGTAGGTCCTGCTGCGGTTGGAATATAAAATCAAGCTCTACAGAGTAAAGAAGACTAGTGTCAAGAAGCTCTCACCAAGAAGAAATGCGGAGGAGGCCTTGAGGAATATAGGACTGAAAAAAATGAATTTAAGCCCCGCTAATGAAAAATATAAATTAATAAGGCTGGTTAATTATATAGGATCTAATATTCACACGAGATTATCTTCTGCAAAGATTGGTCATTTCACGGCAATAGTATACCGTTTTGATCACTGGATTCGATACAATGATATGACAATGCACATTAATACAAGAAACACATTATTTATTCTTTGACTAAATTTCTTATATAAAAGCTAAATATAAAACTTTAGAAATATAAATACAAATTAGAAAATATCTTCTCCGATATAGTAGTTTATATAATACTGTTTCGTAATAATTAATTTTTTCAACATCAAAAATGAGCATTTGAAAAATTGAGTCTCAAAATTGACATAATATCAGAAATAATAATGCAAATATGATAAAATTCAGAAATTGTAAAAAAAAATAATAATGGTTAGTAAATTAATAAACTATGTTTATTTTCCTTTGTGTTATTCTATAAAATACAAATAAGTGCTACCATAAAAGTTACATTACATTAAATTATTATATCTTACGGTATAATCTGTTTTATTGTTATACAGCTAGATACCGATTTATGCTACATCTCAATTTTATATCGAAAAGCGCATTATAAGATAAATAAAAAAGAATAAAATATAACAATAAAAAAGAGAAAATAAAAATAGTTTAGGAAGCTACAAACATGTAAAATGACCTAACGATACTATTGATAATGTATTATTATTTAAACAACGCAATATGCAAAATCATACAAAGTTTATTTTCACATTTGAAAAATCTATTTTTAGTTTTTAGATTTTATAAAGAACTATAAGCTACAGATATATAAATTACGGACATTTATGTCTTCTATCATTTAAACAAATCATGTTTTCATTAATATTAATAAAGAGCAATCGCTTAATTTTTGAGAAATAAGAGAGTGCCTCTTTATCTCTCTCCTTTAGGAAATCATATCCCTTTAGGAATGTCACTATCGGTGATTTTCCTCTACTATTTAACTAATTTATTTTTCTTAACGTAAGAAATTAGAACACGTAATTCTTAACAAAATGTAATCTTTCTAAATATTCTTCTCTCTAGATATTTTAAGATATAGTTGAAGGAAATTATTATATTATTATACTTAAAGCTTATTCCATCAATTTTATATTTTTAAATATATATATATATATATATATATTACATGATTAGAAAAAGAAAATATATATTATTATTA